TAAACTTCATCGAAATTCTCCTACACGGATTCCTTGTAAAGAATATGGTTGTGGTAAGCTAACTTATTCTAAATATGATGCATGCCGGAATCATGCAAGTAAGTATCGAAAAAGAAAATATTATCAACAAAAAAAGCAGGATAAATTGTGTGTACAAATTGCTATGATTGAGAATCATATACCTGACTTACCCAATTCTAGGCATGAACTATAATCATCTGCTTGGCATATACCGATCATTTTTTCCAGAGCCTTTTTAAGCGATACTATATCTTCTTTGATGTCTTCTATATTTTTGGCTATCTTATTACGTAGAGCTATGGATTCTAAAACTTTCGATCTATTCCGTGCCTTATTCATATTAATATCCATTTCCCAATATAATTACATTAATCGCCACCCATTCAATTTTTGGGTATAGTTATACTGACCTGGGATAATTAATTTCGATTTGAAAAAATATTTTCTACAGTGTATATAACCTAAAGAATCACTCATAACCTACTCGACCTACTATAACATTCAAACATGTCAGCTATCATAACTAAAATCGTTGAAAAATACAATCTCACTCCCAAGATGAGTGTGACCGATCTCAGTAAATATACCTCAGAATTTCTTGAAAACATTACCGATGATAGAAAGCGGAATCAAGCTCGACGACGTCTTCGGGATGGTTTTAAATTTAGCAGTGAACAGGTAGGTGTATTGATACCTAATCAGAGAGGTGGGAAAAATAAAACTATAAATATGTGCCTTTGCAATAGAATAGTTATAGCATCACCCCCCAAAAATCAGGAAGAAGAAATTATCAGAGAGATAGCAAAACGAATCTTGCAAAATAGATATGGGTATAGTGAAGGTCAAGTGAATGTATTATTTGATTTGCAAAGCGACTTACGTCACCTCTCTGACCAGAAAAACGAAAGTAAGACCATAAATATTGCGATCTCCAATCAACTCTCAAAAGGAATGGAGGAAGAGACTATTGGAGATATGGCGCAACAGATTTTACGGGATAAACTTAGCATTAGAGATGTAAGAGCCGAAGCTTATGCCTTAGCCCTATCAGCAAAAAATGCTAATGCTGGCTCATCACGTCTCACTCGTCTTCGTAGAGAATTAAGAAACCTTAATGCATCACTTGAGATAATCGAGGCTACGAAATTTCCAGATATTACAGAAGAAGCCAATGAAATCCAGAGTGACAATCGGAAAAAGGCTGAAACTAAACGTATTGATTATCCAGATGAATTTACATTAGAATCAGTCAAAGAAAGATTAGATGCGTATGATATTAAAACTTTACCTGATTGTCAGGCTCTTGCTGATGTTATGGTGATGCTTTGTATTCGTCCTGCTGAACTTGCAACTTTACGTATTACAGATGCCGGAGTAACAGGTTATGCAAAGAACAGGGGTCAACCAGATATTCCTAGAAAATTTAGATCTATGGAGAAGGATCAAGAACGAGCTAAGGAATTGCTTACATGGATTCAGAATGCTATATCTTCTGGTCGAATGGGTGATCCAGGTAAGCCAGGAGTTAGATGGTTCAATAAATTCTTAAAAGATTATAATTTAATTCCCAAATACTTACGAAAAATGGGTGCTGTTTACAGTGCAGTAGTACATAAAGCTGAGAATCCAGCCCACGCTTATACAATTGCTGGGGAATGTCTACGCCACAATCCCGACAACTATACTTCTCCTGTGCAAAATTACGTTGTAGTCAATTATCGCCGGCAAGGACAAATGCCTGAAGAAGCAAGACCATTTCATATCTATGATCAAGATTAATCACGCTTCTTTACTTTTACCACATCCACAGTAAAATCTTCTTCATCATTAGACGATTCAGACTCGCATTATTCTGGCTATAGAAGAATTTTTATTTACTGTGATGTATATACATCTGTGATAATTTTCCTTGTTTTATTGCAAAGCAATGGTTCTCCGAACCTACTTTTGATTCTAGACATGGACACTGATTGTCGCTAGCCGATTTTTTGTCGAAAATTTCGTGTAATTGTTGAGGAGAGACATTCGGAAATAATGGGAGCTCCTCTCCAGTAAAATAAAACATTTTTACCCCCTCGTCAATGAATTTCTGTATTAATACACTTGGAACATCTTCTAATGGACCATGGAATTTCTCAAATTTTCGGAGGTACACTCTCGCATTTTTATCGGCTTCTTCTGCCATTTCTTGATTAGTATAATCGACAATACCAAGTTCTTCCTGAATGGTGTTTATATCCTCTTCCAAGTATAAAAGCAAACTAAATAATTTCGAAAGTGATAAATCAGAAGAACCTCTATTGTTTTGATTTGTCACATTATTATATGGGTCAGAGACCCTATGCTCCGCATATTCCACTGCCAGAATGGGGTTGCCATCGATGTCGAGATTTTTCTGTATCGGTATTAAACCTCCCACCAAATGTAGTAACAACTTATATGAATCAGCAAGTGTTTTCCTGTCGGGCTCGTGTTCTATTTGCTCCAATGCATTACTGTTAGCCATGCTAGCTTTCCAGCTAATACCAAGTTTTTCTTGAATTGCTATTATATCCTTCCTCCTATATAAAAGCACCCCATATAAATGAGCAAATGTTTCGCTTTGATCGGATTTATTATTAGTGCTACTTATCATATTTGTTATAATAAAATAATACATTAATTGCAGAAAAGCTAAATTACAATCAAATTAAAATCACGTGTGCCGATCACTTTGCTAGGAAAAAAAAATGAATATGTCTCGCAGGATGTTTCATTTTGATATTTGTGATGGATGATAGAGGAAGGAATTACTTAATATCAATATAGACTTTGGGTAT